ATTTGTACCACTATACGAACAAAGAACGAAGGTTCTGTTCGACTGTTAATAATATTGCACAGTTATTTGTCTGTTGTACCTAATTATCTTGCAAAAGTGAGATGACTATGCAAATATAGAACCGAAGTGCGTTCCTATTATATATTTTGTTGCTTTGATATTAAGTTTGAGTTTAAAGTTAATGGTATACTTGATTGAATATTGTGTGCACTTTAACACGGGATTTTCGGAACCCTTCAAACTGCTAACTGCTACATGTGATATGCTACTTCAAAAGTACCCTTTTTCCACAGGGGATTTTAGTAAGTACCTAGTCTTAAGCTTTATTACAGATTGTTTGCGGACATCGTTCTGAGATTCTCCTAATACTAAGAGCGCATAGAGGTTTACTGCCGCTGTAGAATAAGCTGGTGGCGTGAGAAAATGTTTTTGGCCATTGCAAAAGGTAAATATTACATCTACCTCGCAGGTAGATCCAAAAGTTTCGAGGCCCGTCGCAGGGGCCACAGCCTTACAAAGTCCTCGCAGGATTTTTGCTCAAGGTTTCCAACACATTAATACACATTCGCAATGTGCTAGCAGTATCTCACCTTCGCAAGGTGGTGACAACAGCAATAAACCCGCCTCTGCAAGGTGGTGACAACAGCAATAAACCCGTCGCCGCAAGGTGGTGACAACAGCAATAAACCCGTCGCCGCAAGGTGGTGACAACAGCAATAAACCCGCCTCCGCAAGGTGGTGACAACAGCAATAAACCCGCCTCCGCAAGGTGGTGACAACGGCAATAAACCCGCCTCCGCAAGGTGGTGACAACAGCAATAAACCCGCCTCCGCAAGGTGGTGACAACAGCAATAAACCCGCCTCCGCAAGGTGGTGACAACAGCAATAAACCCGTCGCCGCAAGGTGGTGACAACAGCAATAAACCCGTCTCCGCAAGGTGGTGACAACAGCAATAAACCCGCCTCCGCAAGGTGGTGACAACAGCAATAAACCCGCCTCCGCAAGGTGGTGACAACAGCAATAAACCCGCCTCCGCAAGGTGGTGACAACAGCAATAAACCCGCCTCCGCAAGGTGGTGACAACAGCAATAAACCCGCCTCCGCAAGGTGGTTATATCATATTCATGCTGTTTTTATATATTTCGGTCGCACCGAAAAATTGGAATATCTGTCGGAGTTGGTCAAATCCTCGGCAGAATAAAATTAGCCAAGTCAGGAGCGAAGACGTGTATCATCGCCCCGTCATTGATGCTGCAGCATTGACAACAAACGACGTAAGTATTAACAACAGAGCGGACAGTCTCCTGCAATTGGTAGACCGATGGGAACTTGTGAACGTCAGATTATGATAATAAAAAGGTATCGCATACCCTTTTTACAAAAACTGACCCTGGTTCACCCCAATGTTGTCGGAACGAACTTGTTGAACTGGAACATCTGTTCATCAAACATCTGTTCTAGAATCTCTGACACTCTGTTCAGAAATGACATCAGTCATGAACAAAATAACAGAACAGGTAGTTACGGACCGAGCTACTGAGCAGCCAAGCTTCCTACCATTGATATTTCTGGTCCAAGGGCGACCGCATCGTCCATTTGGAAATTCAGAATTTATGTATCATCTGACCGATTCGTTAATGCACATACGTGTTAAAACACATAGTATTTCACATTTTCTACAACCTGATTGTCTATGCAAAATCGACATTTCTCAGGCGTAGAGTTATTTTTCTGTGGCCCGTAGCCACGGAAGGTTTATGTGCCTAAATTATCGCAACGAATTGCTACGAATGACTTGCTTATCATTAGGCATGAGCGCAGCGCCCAATACTTTTGCTACGATTTTCCCAGACACTGGGACAATGAGGTGTCGGGATTTTTTATTGCCATCAGGACGAAGGCCAACTTCGGACTTCGTATGAAAATTGGGCTCCATGTTCTAGAAAAGTTGGTTTGGCTATTTACACAAAAGTCATTAAGCCAGGGATCCATGGTCAAATCACAAACATTTACCCGGTAGTAAAATTTCTGGGGTCATTTTGCCATTTAATGCGGAAGAAATGCAAGTCACGCACAGAACTCCAGAGCCTAGTTATATTTGCTGCTTCTGCAGTTTCAAGACTCTAGTCAAGAAAAAGACTCTACTTTCAAGCGTTTCTGAACCTACAAGAATAAAATCTTAAAGGGCGATCGCAGATGGGTCTTCATTTTACCTCATGTGAACAATCTTGTGTGGGAGGAGCCAGAATTATCATCTTCTGTCGGTCCTACACATGCTACTTCTACCTTCTCATTCCCAGCAGCTTGCACAATGTGTCAGATATTGCTAAGGGAGCTTACCTGGGCAATCTCTTTCTCCTGGGTCTCTGGTCAGAGCACGAGAAAGATCGTCATAGTAGCCAATCCTGAAATAGACTGGTTTGATATAGGACGACATCAAGTCTATCGCATATATCCGTTACGAAAGGGGGGGGGGCCCCAAGTGGCTCCACTTCTGGATTTAAACCTCCGTTTCCCATTATACGTTCATATGCGTTAACATACACGTATTTCATGTACCAGATATATAATGTACAATGTCAAGGCAGATCATCTGTTGAGGTTTGTGAAACTTTAGAGAGCACCAGCTGTCAGCAGAATGCACAAACCAAATGGTCTCCATATGCGAAGTTCCACTGATCAACTTATTTGCGTCATACCGAGTACATGTAGTGACATTTACGTGCCTTTATATCAAAACTACGGACAAGCCCTGTTTGGCGACGCGTTTTTTCCACATATGGAAATGTTTTAAACCCAGCGGGGGAGTTCTCTCCAAGCTTTTTGATTTCTTAGGTCCTGGATTATTTCAATCAAGCACACAGAACGTGCCTACTAGTAGTTCCTTAATGAGGGCGAGTTTTTTGGCGTGTCTCGCTTGCCATAGTACCCCGCTTCTTTACGCTTTATCACCTAGACAAAGTCCTAATTAAGAACAAGGCGGCCACCACCGAGCGTCTACGACATGACCTTGGAAGTGTGGAAACGTGAGATGTCTGGAATACTATTAAAATGATATTCTATACAATTGAAATCTCTTAAGAAATCATGGCGTCCGTCAATACGTTAAATCTATAGTGCAGTCCTCAAAAGGTTGCACCGCACCGGAGGGGGGGGGGACCCTCAGCTCCTATAGCAAGACTTTTGACTACATTTTTATCTATATCGGATCTCTATTGAATCAATAATTTGTCGTACAATTAAAATTTGTCACAAAAATCTGTGGTTGCTGTCCTTTGTTAACCAGAACCATATGTCGTTTAGCATGTATTGTTAAAAACTATACAATCAGTAACATTAATTTAACTTATGAACTAACACATCAGTTAGGTACTTATATTTGAGATTAACTGACTGTGTAAAACATGTTGTAAATGGTGATTGATCATGTCAATCCCCCTGTTTGGGTCATAAACGATCTAGCTAGATTCTTAGACAGTAAACTTATTAATAGTCTTTCAAGTGCAGAGACAAACAGCTGTTCCATTTCTCCTATACTCCAGGAAAAGATTCCATGACCTAACTTTCCTCGATATTGATACTAATAATTACCATAATCATAATGACGTAGACGTACTAGTTTTTCGGTCGGCTTTTAGATCAAAAACTGATTCTGTTGATTAAATGGATAATAATAAATTAGCTTTCACGCACGACTTTGCCCGTGTATTTCTACCATGGGAGCATTTAATCGGGATATATCACCGAAGTCGGCCCATACCCAGCCTGTATACCAAATTTCTAAAGCTCAGATCCAGTCCAATGGACTAAGCATACCATAAGAGGCATAACTTAATGGCGTAAGCTGTGATGTTATGTGTCAATTTTGAAAATAATGCAAATTTCTTAAACCGACATAGAAAAATCTAATTGCGGTCAGGATAAAGTTCCTTCTTGGTGGTAACCGATATTAAGATATCAGTAATCCCCCAAGATATCCTGAGGGTTTCAGATCAGCTGTGATCTGAAAAAATTTAGTGGATAGTTATCCTTTTGAGGCGATCCTTTCTAAGATGTGTGTGCCTTTGTATGTCACCTTTTTATTCAATACAGACGATTAGAAAATTAGAAACGAGGCAATAAAATACCTCAGAAATATATAACATCTGTTTTTGTTCAGATCAAATACAATTATTATTGAAAAAATTAAAAATAACAGGTTTTCTATTCAATACCTTTCATCAAAACATGTATATGTTTTTAGATATTTGCTATTTTTCTTAGTTTTTCTATTCTGTGATTTTACCACATCATACCAGGTAGTACGACTGCGGTCAACGCAGTCATACTACCTCACATTGGCGTCTGTCACTTCCACCAGGCGATAACAAACACGTCTCAATTAAATAAGCTTCGAATAACGGTCAAGTCAAATTAATGGAAGCGTTTTACCTACCAATAAAACGCATATTAATTTACTTACCTTATTCGAAGCTTATAGTCAAGCTCTGCCTGGTAATGAGACTCAATGAAATAAAAATGGCGAGTCTCTCTTAGCAAGCCTCCCCACCACTGCCAAATGGAAGTGACGTAGTAGAAAGAGATAGACATATAGGAAAAGCGGAAGGAGGGAAGCGGAAGGCCTATCTCAATTAAATAAGCTTCGAATAAGGTAAGTAAATTAATATGCGTTTTATTGGTAGGTAAAACGCTTTCATTATCCAAATAAATTAATAAGGTGCTCTTTTCTAACATCCAAATAAATTATATTAATTTAAAATTAGGTATTCATATTCGTAAAAAAAACAAACACACAAAAAATAATAACTAAAAAAACATAATAGGTACAATAATAAATAAAAAATCGTTAAATATATTGTTTAAAAATGAGGAGGTTCTCATTCGATTGTTTTTTTTTCTACAAAACAGAACGCATTTCACTCTAAATTCAAATCTAAATTTAAAAAAAACAGCACACATACACACTTACACTATTTTTTTTTTCTTAAAGCCTATGAACTACTTTCTAACACTCCTATTGACTTTTCCGTAGATTTCAGGGAATGCGTCCTTGCAGTATGGCAATGAATCTCGCACTTTGTCATATAAAGTATGGTCGAACATTGCTCTGAACTCATCAAGAGTGGTATATGTGTCTGCGTACAGCATTTGGAAACCATCGTGTTTGGAGACAAAGGCTTCTATGCGACGAGTGGAGGTGACCTGGTGAGATAGATATATCTTTTAGTGTAATGGTTAAAAATCTTGTGGTTAAGGTGAAAAAAGTAGGTACAAAAAGGATATTTGCCATTGTTTGGTGCATCTTTCTTAATTTTAAATGCAGCATCAACTTTTCTTTTATATATACTAGCAACCCGCCCCGGCTTCGCACGGGTGCAATGCACATGTACTATACATATAAACCTTCCTTAAGAATAACTCTATCTATTAAACTGTCAAATACCAAGCGGTCACCGGTGACCGCAACCTATTGTTCTATAATTGTGTCTGCAAAACCGGTACTCGACGAGTTAAAAAAACCGCATCAAAATCCGTTGCGTAGTTTTATAGATCTAAGCATACATAGGGACAGACAGACGGCAGATAGCAACTTTGTTTTATACTATGTAGTAGGAAGTAGGATGTCAATTTACTTACAGTCTCATATCCTTTAGCTTTAGGCACACCATAAACGCCGATGTCGACAAACATCTGAGAGTCAGCGTTAGTCTTGATCTTCAGCTGTCCAGGGTGGTTGAATACTCTGAACGGACACAACCAGATCGGGTAAACCTGCAAGAAACATAATTATTTATGTTTTCGTGTCGTAATGTAAGTTTTGCAAAATAAATTAGGTAATTATTTCTTTCCAATTAAAAACACATTTAATAATGCCGAAATAACATAACATAACGCTTGCTATCCCCGAAGGGGTAGACAAAGGTGCACATTACGACACTTTATGCCATTGCACAATGTAACACCCACTTTTCACTATTTATGTTATGAGTCCCATGTAATAGGGGATGAGCTTATTACCATATACCGGGCACATTTCCAGACTCCGTGCAACTACTGAGATTTTTTAATATTTTTTTGTTTTATTGTTTTTGAAATACTATTGTATGTAAAATGCCCTTGATAGATATAACTTTGCAAGAGTAGTGCCACTAACGCTGTAACTACTTTTAATAAACGTTTTGAGAATCTCTGGTAAGTATGAAAAAAACTCCAATAACCTGGGATACTTGATTCATAATACGTCAAATATGGCACAAGCAAACTCATCAGAGACAATGGATCCAGAAAAGAATTATTTTATGTTTACCTCATCTTCGAAAATCCTTGCGTTAAGAATTTCGTAATATTTATCTTTCCTTACCTCAATCTCCTCATGGAAAACATCGATGGCCTTCTCCAGGTGTTCCACGGGTACCAGCATGTCCTGGATGACGTGAGCCTTGTCATACAACTTGGTGACGGCCTCCGGTTGAGTAAGCTTCAGCAGCGACACTTCTGGAGGCATCAGCCATCCGAGTAGGTAACGGAAGATTGGGTGGTTTCCGAATGGAATTATGTCCTGGAAATTAAATGGAATAACTTAGGTTGGGTAAAAAAAGACATAATTTCAGGCCAGGAACAGTAGGTATATAAAGTTTAAGTCGGTATGGTAGTGATTTGGATTTACGAGATCCCCCAGAAGATTTGGCGGGTTGCCGGGGATCCGGCTTCAAGAGCGGAAGTAGGAACGGGTGGTTTTTTTATAAGTAAGAGTCTGATACTCCCGCTCACCTCACCTCACCATAGGCGGGAGAAGACATTGGACGATTTTGCCCCTCAAAAGAATCTGGGTAGGTGACACTAAAAATATGACCTTTCTAAGTAGAATTACTCGAAAGAAAAACCAATAGTCAATTAGAAATAGGAGAACAAGAAGAAACTTAGAAAATCTGTTGATGAATACATTTAGATTTTCAAAATCGCTGTACACCGTATTATACCTTAATCGGCGAACATGACAAGCACCTTAAATGCAACACAGATAATTATTTATTTTTGGCGCTATGTTGACTGATTTATGTAATACGCTGATACAGCGATTTTGAAAATCTAAATATGTCCATCAACTTTTGATGGTAACCGTACCTGCAATTCCCAGAAGAAGCTCCTGGTATGCCTGTGGTAGTAGTCCCTGAGAGGTATGTACTCCACAGCGGTACTGTTGTTGGTCAGGTGGCGCTCCACCTGCTTGAAGAACCACTCCGCGTACCACTTGCCTATAGGATTGAACTGGAAAAATTATTAAAGAACATGTTCAGTTGGACAATCATTGATTTTTATTAACATAACATCACGCCTTTTATTCCCGAAGGGGTAGGCATAGGTGCATAGTACGGCACTTAATGCCACTATACAATGTAACAGCCACTTTACACTCTTATGTTATAAGTTCCATGTAATAGGGGGTGAGTCTATTGCCATATAGGTACCGAGCACAATTTTTTTTTTTTTTTTTAAAAAAACGTTGCCCCACACTAGGATTACATCCTGTGTCGTGGGTGCGTTTACAAACATACAAGTTCACATACACATGACACCCAGACTCGGAACAACAATTTGTGGATTACACAAAGTGTTGTTCCGTGCGGGAATCGAACCCGCGACACGTTGCACGGCAGCCGGTTGCCCAGCCACCGCACCAACGGTGCAGTCGTGCCAAACACTTTTTTAAAAACCCAGTAATACATTACCCGACCCGGGAATTGAACTTGAGACCACTCGGCCAACGACAGTTGCATTTATTTAAAGATGAGATAAAAATAAAACTTACCTTGCCATCATCTCCAATTTTATCAACCATGTTTCCCGTCATGAGAACTCCTGAATTTTTGGTGTACAGCAGAGCTTCAATGAATTGATGTGGTTTATCTTTTAGTGACTCTTCGACAAAATGGTGGGCAAGCTCCGACAGTTTGTTGTATGGTCTGTATTCGAGACGAATGTATCTGGAGAAAGAAAGAAAAGTAAAAAGGTTGAATACCTCATGAACAAATATTATTCATTTGAGTAGTTATGTTAGATTACATGGGCCTTTTAATACTCAAACTACAAAATGGCATAAAATGTGATTTTGGAACATGATAGTAATGTATGTCGATAGTAAAGTATGGTTAGTGCATACGATACGCGATCGTAGCGTATTCTTAGGCGACGCGTAGTACACTCGTAGCGTGTAGGTGTCGCATGCGTATCGCGATCGTAGCGTATTCTTAGACGACGCGTTGTAGTCTCGTAGCGAGATCGTAGCGTATTTGTAGACACGTGTAGTAGTCTCGTAGCGATATCGTAGCGTGTTCGTATACACGTGTAGTAGTCTCGTAGCGAGATCACAGCGTATTCGTAGATGCGTGGAGTAGTCTACTAGCGTGACTGTACATTGTAAGTACATAGTTTGCCTACGTAACATGTGAAGTGTATATATACTACCTGGAAGATGTGTACATAACATCTTCCAGGTAGGCAGAGGTGCACATTATACCGCTGTACAATGTAACACCCGCTTTTCACTATATATGTTATGAGTCCCATGGAATAGGGGGTGGGCCTATTGCCATATACCGGGCACAATTCCAGACTGCCTCGTTGGCCGAGTGGTCTTAAGTGCGACTACCGGGCAAGGGATCTCGGGTTCGATTCCCGGGTCGGGCAAAGTATTACTGGGTTTTTAAATATTCTCAGTAGTAGCACGAAGTCTGGAAGATGTGTAGTGATGTGTAGTACTTGTTGACTAAAGAATAAAAATTGTAGTAATAATTACTTTTTAGCTGGAACTACTTTGATGACGGCTGAAGTTAGAAAACCGAGGGTGCCGTACGACCAGGGAACTGCGTAGAAGAGGTCAGGGTTCTCGTCCTGAAAACGAAAGTTTAATTTCTGGTTTTACAAAATTTCATGATCAAATTCAATGCAAGTATAAAATATCCGAAGGTCTAGATTCTAAATGAAAATTGTAATTAAACTGGATAAATATCTACGTATGTACCTACTTTCCATAAAACATGTCGTACATTCAAGATCCTTAAAAAGAAGCATCACAATACCTTACTACAGGTAACAACAGATCCATCAGCTAACACCAGCTCATACTGCAGGCAGAAATGTTGGAAGAGGCCGTAGATATGAGATGAGGACTCTACGCCAGTGCCCATCACCAGCCCGCCCACCGTAAGCTGGTCTAGCTCAGGTACCACTGCTAGGGCCAGGCCTAGAGGCTCCAGGGTTCTTGATAGCTGGCCCATCGTCACTAAAGGTTCGCAGCGGACAGTCTGTCATGAAAATATTTGTGAACTAAGATTTTCTCGTAAAGGTTCTGTTTGATATGTAGTTTACGTAATGTATAAATTAATTGTATGATTTTTCGTGTAGTTAATATTCATCTCGTGGGAAGAAATATTAAGATTTCAATGTATTTCAATTTACCTATTAGTAGCATGCACTTTATTGAATTGTTCTTATTGTGCAAAAAAGTAGCTTGTAGTACTAAATATCTGGAATCTACAGTTATTATTTAGCAGTATCTAGAGTCTAGATACTGCGGAAACTTGGCGTAAACATAATTGTTAATTTTGGAACAAGATTTCGGAACAGGCTGCAGAATAATTTGAAATTCTAAGCATGTTTTGTTCACATATCGCGACTTAGTGACAGGATTTTGTTTTTTAAATGAACCAGTTTGAATTGACGCAAGACTTTATACATCTTTAATGTGCATAATGCGGGAATTTGATTTGCTCAATCTCTGATTTAATAGATTCTATATCTTAGTAACAATGTATCAAGAAACATTGTTCACGCTACAACTTTGGAATAGTCATCTTTCTTCTTCTATCTATCCCCTTTAATTAATTTGCAGTTTTTATTATTTTTGTCAATTATTACTCAATTCCCTTTTCTACCATATCATATATGCCATAATTTTCAAATCTCCATCATTATACTTCTGTGTTTATCCTCTGTTTCATTTCCTTTCTTGATCAGTAGCAATTTAGCCACTCAATTAACACCATTTAACTGAATCTGACGTAATAAGGAGAATTTAATTATTACTATCAATTTGCCTAAATGTGCTTACCATGTTTTCCATATCGACTTCCAGCACGTCAACCAGGTTGACTTTGATATTGGTGAAGGTCTTCTTGTAGATACCCTGGCGGAAGGACATGGCCTGCCAGCCTGGCCGGGCGGTACACAGCCTAGTGCTACGGTCTCCTGCCAACCAGGCTTTCACCTGGAACGGAGAATGGACGGGTGATTTAATGGTAATAGGTACAATAAAAGATAACGGTAGCCTTGTACCCATTGAGTTAGGCCATTATGTGGTAGTTTTTAGTCACTAAGAGTCTGGCAATCCCTTTCATCCTACCCAGATGGAGGGGCTCCATGAAGATTCTCCACCTTAAGGTAAAATAGAGCAATTATGGAAGATAATACAATGCCAAATGGTACGATGATATTATAGGTTCCAAATACATAAATGTGCTGCTAAACTGAAGTGGTTTTTACTGTTAACAAAACCAGTTCCTTGTTTGAGTATCAATCGAGGATTATAGGGAGCAGACGGATCACCTGATCGTAAGCAATTGGCGCCGCCCATGGACACCTGAAACGCCAGAGGCATTACAAGAGCGTTACCGATTTGTGATTCGGGGTGTGGGGAGACTGAAGAGGGGGGTAATTTGGCCTCCAACCAACTCCAAGTTTGTGTGTATATATACACCATCGAACCTTCAATGTTATTTGACGGATTCACAATTTCTTATGGATGGATGACATGCTTAACACTAACTAATGATTATTGTATTTAATGAATTGAAAATCATCATCCAACTAACCTGGCTCTGGACTTCTTTCACTTTCTTTATATGCATCTTCGGAGCACTGTTCAGCTTGAACACCACATAGTTCCTGAATGTAGACCATATCTTCCAAATCAAGGAGACAGGCAGTAGAGCCACCATTACGATTATCCATCGGTGTTCCACCAGGATATACTCCAAGAACGTCTCCGTTTCTATTGCAGTCATTGTACCCTAATTACGAAGTAACTGAAAATATAAAATACATAACATAACATCACGCCTTTTATCCCTGAAGGGGTAGGCAAAGGTGCACGTTGCAGTACCTAATGCCACTGTTCCAAATACCTATCCTAATTATTTTGTAAATTATGAGATTGTAGATCAATTCTTAGATTTGAGAACAAGGAGCTAATATTCCTTCACATATCAGGAGGAGAGTTTTATTATACCCTGCCTGAAATTGACCCTCTTTGTGGAGTCTAGAATTTAGTGCTAACGTTTCTTCCTGACGTTAGGGAAGACGTACACTGTTGAAACTAGGTAACTATAGTAGTCAGTGCTGAAATGCTTTCGAACAATACAACCACCTTTGATTGGAAAGAGATATATCCTATCTAAAACAATAAAAAGTTTTGACGCCACACAGGTGTCTGCATACATAGAGATAAAGAAAGGTCGTAGGTAAACAATAAGGTTAATCGGCCATTAATTACTACCTAAATAATTGCAACAAAGTAATAAAATACAAAGAAATGTCAAATATTTCGAGTCCGATAACTCCGTTGGCGGTTGATTAGGTAAAGAATAATTATTCACGATAATTACTATCTTTCTGCAGGTGTTTGAAATATTTATTAATCCCTTCCAGAAACTACGATTCTCAATTGGTATAATTATGTAGATAGATGCCTATTTCCTTAGAATAAGTACTAGGTATTGTTAAAACCAAAGTATTTATATCAATTTTTAATTTAATTACACCAAAAAAGAACCTTTTCAAGTCACGACTTGTTAAAATATGTTCATTTATCGGTGTGTTTTGTAGCTGGTCTCAAAGTGTAGGTTCCAAGAGAAGAGCTAGCAACTAATCAATGTTTTTATCAATTGCCTAGAACAGGTTACTGCTGGACCCAGGACGTTAAAAAAGGCGGATATATTGTCACTTAGAAATTATTGCAGCACCAAAATGTCAGTGGGTTATTTATGTGTGCGTGTGTAATGGATTACCACATAAGACCACATTACCAGACTTAAGAAAATGACAGATGTCCTTCGTGCCAACGTGTGTTCTGCGTGTAAGTCTATAGTAGCCAGGTACCACAGTTATTGTTTCAAAAGACTGTGTCCATCTTTTTTTCAACGTCCTTGTGCTGGACTATGAGTTCTGTGAGCATCTATCACATAAGAGGGTTAGTATCATTATCGCCACGTTTGGTCCGCGTAAGCGAACCTCTTAGTCTGCAGTCTCCAACCGTCACTGGTTGGATCACAGTTTAAAATGTTCTATTTTTTTAAAAGGTGTCCGATATCTATTGTAAAACTAGAATTACTTAATTTAACTACAGATCGAGCGGTTAATTGATAAGCGAAAATCCTAAAACCGATTTTTTTCGGATATAGGTAATCATTGGTTTTTTTAACATTCTATATAGATCAGGTTAGTCAGTCAAATCGCCATCAATAATGTAGCAGTTGTTAAAGTTTTTGGGATATGACAAAAATAGTAATTACAATATAAATGGTTTATAGCACTGTGCAGTCTGCTCAAGTATAAGGTATAATGTTTCTTTCTTCTTTGCTCTTCAAATTCCAAGAAGTTCACTTACTTAGATAAAATTAGACCGTTGTCTCGTGCAGAATTTAGATCTAAACGAGACGTAGTGTATTTTTATTGAGTCTCATTAGTCGCAGCTAAGACCTAAGTGGTTATTAGAAACGAGCCGCGGAAGACTTAACGAGTTGCCGGGGCTCCGGCTCGAAGGAGTAGGGACGGGGTGGTTTTTAGTCAATAAGAGTCTGACACTCCTTCTCGCCTCACCCGGGCAGGAAAAGCCAACGGATGATTTTCCCCCTCAAAAAAAAAGGCCTCCTAAGAAGTGTAACAATATCAGATTTTAGTTTTAGGTATCGTTATTCTTCCAAAAATATGTATTGTATTGTTCGTTTTCTTAGTTGCAATGAGGCTTCTCTCTAAATATTTCTTTGATAGGTATTTCGACTGGATTGTGGCGATGATCGTGAGACCACAATGAAATGGTTATTTTTAAATGTAATATTACACTTTTAATTCAAAATTGGGGGCAAACAGATGAAACAGAGGCACATATTAAATGTATCACTCATTTTTCACCTGATCTTTTATCATTACCAAAATCAACATTACATTCATACGTTTATATAGGTAGGTACACACAAAAGTTAATATCTCTCAGTTATCATAATTAACTGGCGTTTACTCAGTTTTTAGTGGTTGAAGATAAATCTAGTGTCATTTGTTATTAAGTACTAGACTAGTTCCGTGAAATACTTAGGATGTCTTTGTGATACTGTATAAAAAGTCAAGTCTTGTAAAATAATGATGTTCAGCGTTCAGTCATATGTAACTGGTAAATATTTTATGGACACACCAGAACAAGAATAATTTATGAACACAAATATTATGTAAGGACATACCTTAGGTACTTAAAAAATTGTTTCAAACCAAAACTAATTTCATCAAGTGTGATCGTCGATTACGAAGTCTTAAAATCGAATCCTTGGTTAACCGAAATCCAAATTTTTGGATGAAAACCTACTTACCGAATATAGTTTATTATTGAGATTCACAAATTCCACGTAAAACCGGACCATGAAGAATAAAAATAATATTTTGTGATTTAATAATTTTAGTCTGCTACGTATCTAGATTATTAAAATTGAGCTAGACTTTGTAAAAATCTAAAAAAGATTCGCTCTTTAATCAAATTGGTTTCAAATTACATGTAATTTTAGCTGACGACAATGGTAAATTTAATGGATGTCTGTTTAAACAAGCCATAATGTTACGAGCCAGAGTTTTTTAGAATCAACGTTAGTAAACAAAAAATTAAGATGCTTACCCTTTCCAGTAACCAAAAATATTTAAAAACTCTATCAGATCTCCAAAAAAACTTTAATACTTATTTATTTTCTGTGATATGTTTTACAAATCAGCGTAACAAACACTTTATTTTTTATATTTGACACAAAAGCAAAGAGTGTGTTGGTCTGTGCCGGCGGAGCTCTGCCGCCAAACTGAATTCAAGGGCACGACCATCAATTAACATGCAGGACATCGATCTATTTTAGAAACAAGCTAAAATACACCTTATCCCCTAACTATAAAGAAAAAAGTCTTAATTTAGCTACTGGAATTTAAACAATGTTCTCGTATATGACGATGATGACGTTTTTAAATCCGAACCTAAATCAAAATTGTTTTATCGTAAATTGACCGGAGATTAGTCAATTCTTATCTTGTAAAACAGATTAATTAATTACGCAAATTAAACACATTGTTGCTAAGTACTTGATGAATGAATGTAAGTAGATCGGAATTTACATACCGTAATTATTTTTTATTGTCATCATTTTAATTTCCATTGTTTTTTTTTTGTTCATCATTCAGTGAGGCGTTGCACAGACTATATCAAAAGGTATTTTCGAAATTCGTTTTTCAGCCAAGTACATTAATGAACTCTTCAAATGTAGTTATTGAAATGCTGTTGCATAAATAAATGTAATGCTTTGAATAAAAAAGGTAAAAAATATAAGTAAGTAAAATTCAGTTAAATAAAAGCATGTTGCCCTTTTATTTGTTGTACTTCATTACCATTTTTTTAGTAGGTAGACTTTAGGAGACGCATATCTGTACTAGTCATTGTTGTCGTTTAGAATCATCTAGATAAAATACCTAAATACCTAATCTGAAAATACGTAACTACTCTAAATAATAATTTTTAGTGAAGAAACTTCTTATCAACGTTGATAAGGGTTTTGGGACAAATAAAGTACCACATCTTATACAGTAGATAAATTTAATATCACATACATAAATAAATCAATGTCAACATTAAATTAAACTAAATAAAATTAGTATTTAGGTACACATATCACCGATTTTCCATAAGATAACCAACAAAAACAACAATTAATGTTGATCAGGAATTTTTATCAAAAATAATAACAAAGTCACCATTATTTCTTATTTATGCAAAATAGAATCACAGCTTACTCTTTGAGCCCTCGTGTTTTACAGGTATCACAGTATCCTTTTTCACGATAGGGACACGAGGAACAGTGATGATGAGTAGCCCGTCAGCCGTCAATCTGGACTTTATCTCTTCAATTCGACATCCTTCTGGAACTTGGAATCTCCTCATGAATTGCCGAGCGATGTATCCATAGTCGTCTTGTTTTTCCTCATGTTTCCCTTCCACAACAATAAACCCATCAGCTGTTTTCACTGATATTTCCTCGGGGGCATAGTCGTGCACCTTTATACATATTTCATACTTATTATGTCCGCGTTTCACTACATTTTCTTGCTTCCAAGGAAACCCTTCTAACCAGTCGATCGAACGCAATAGCGTGTCGTCTCCAAATAGTGGCGGTGTTTGTATAGTTGGCAGCTGAAGCATTTCGTATTTTTGTCCAATTATTCTAGAAATGTCATTAAACTCTGCGTCTTACTACGCAGACTCGCGTTACGCTAACAAGCGCGACACAATAACTAAACCTGTTTTGTTATTTAGTTCGTAAAAGTTAAACGCAGATGGCGCTTTGTAAAGGTTATAGGTTAGCAAATCACTAGTTGTATGATTTTATGTTAGGTAAATGTTATCTGTGGATAGAATTTCGTAGGTCCTACTTTCATTTGGCGGCAAAATTTAACGTGGATGGAAGAATTTTTTTTAAATGTGGGTCTGAATTGAATCTACAAGCTTTCCAAGTTACCTAGATTTTACAGATTGTACTTGGCTAGATCTTAATCATTTGATTAAACAGTAAAAAGTGGTACCTAACAACAAGAACATTAGGTCATTTGTTTCACTTTATATAGATATTTACGTATCATTTCCAGTCGTTAGAAACTTATCTACAAGTAAAACCGAAATATCGTTCAATATTTTTTAAATTTTAATTGTATTATTTCGCTACAGTTAAAGACAGATGTCGCTTTTAAAGAGATTGTCTGGCCTTATCGACACAAAACAGCTGTTGCAGTTTTAAGTTACTTCTGTTAATCTATGTAGATAATTAAATATATTTAAGTTACCTAAAATCGTTCAAAGTAAGTAGACCCTTAATATTTTTAGTTATTCTTTTTTCATATTTTTCTTATTACATGCAGTTGATTGCTTTTTTGGAGTGCTGAAATTAATAGCGACAAAAATCAGTCTTAAAGTCGTGACTTTCTGTAATAAACTAACTTTATCTATTCTTTATTGATTAAAGCTGATTACTAAAGTTGTATCTATAACCGATTTATCATTGGTCAGTAATGGTCAGTGTCATTGTCGAGACTTCCGAACCTAATTGTTTTCCTGTAAAACAGGTTATGTTTTGTTTTGAAACATGTTTTTTTAACTGCATGTTAAGTTATTCATAATACTGAGTATAATGATAGTATAGGATAAAGTAGATATCTCTTAGTGTAGGAGACATTGAACTGGATTTAAATACTAGATTTTTTTCTATAACTAAATTTTTTGCAACGTATCTGACTAAAAGTAACATGTTACTGTTTAACTTTATCAGTTTTTACTTCATTATACTTCTAAGGTATGTACATATTTACATACCTAAATGTCTTTATTTCCTAAGCACTAAGTCTTACTCTTAGTCAAATTCAGGAAGTGCTTTGAGTCAAAGCACTTCGGTCTTAAGGTAAAAAGGCTTTGAAGATGGTCAAGAATTCACGAACCACTTAGTTATCTATACAATACTTACATAATAGGTATCTCCTACATGAAATAAATCTTGGTGGAATTGAAAGTAGGTAGGTACCTGACGAAATAAGCAATAAATAGAAATCTTACATAACAATTCAAATTTTAAAAGGTCTTTCTAGAAATGCAGCACGGATAGTCTTAGTAAAAGTAATTCTACAACTATCTTGCTCTATGATAATTTATAATATCCCTGAACTTTATTACATAACCAATGTCACGCATAACTGATAACAATAACAATGTAGTTTGATTTTACACAGTTACACGACAATGTCGGTGAACAAGGTAGCAGTTGTTACTGGAGCAAATAAAGGACTTGGATTTTGCATTGTCAAAAAACTTTGTGAGAAATATTCCGGGAAGGTTTACTTAACTTCAAGAGATGAGCAAAGAGGAGGAAAAGCGTGTGATGAATTGAATAAATTAGGACTGAATCCATTCTTTCATCAATTAGACGTCAGTGATAAGAAAAGCGTAAACAATTTCGTGAAACACATTCGTGAGGAAAATGAAGAAGTTGAAATATTGATTAACAATGCTGGAATTCTATTTTTGAAAGACGCGCCGGAACCAAAGAGTTTTCAAGCTGAACAAACTATTTTTGTAAACTTCACCGCATTGGTCGATTTCACGGAAGCCATCCTGCCATTTATGAAAAATGGCGGGAGAATTGTGAATATTAGCAGTTCTTCTGGCCACTTGTGTAGAGTACCTTCCGGAGACATAAGGAGCAAATTTCAGTCAGAAATGTTAACTTTAGAGGAATTGAAGACTTTGGTCAGTAGTTATGTTGAGGATGTCAAACAGGATGAAGAAATCAATAAAGGATGGGGTGACTCTCCATACGTAGTTTCAAAAGTTGCAGTCAATGCTTACACTTTTATGTTACAGCGTAGATTAGCTCCAAAAGGTATTTATATTAGTTAGAGATTAGATCATTAGTTTCCTGGTGAAATTACTTATTTATCTTCGAACTGACTCATACCTCCAACGGAAATAGCATATCATTTCTCCACTGTCCTTACAATGTATCCTTTCGTTCTTTAAAAGTTTTCAGACATATTATATCTTATCTATTTGAATCCTAGTATTTGTATTATGCTTGATACGCCTGGTTCTAGTCAGATTCAAGTATATTTTATAAGATTTAAGTATATATATTATTACCTAAACTGTATGAAAGTAACTTCTGCGTGATCATTCCAGGTATAACTGTGAACTGCGTTCATCCAGGATATGTGATGTCTGACATGACGCGCGGTGGCGGGTCAATCACCCCGGACGACGCGGCCAACGTGCCAGTGCGACTGGCCTTGACACCGTGGGGCGCCGGCCTATATGTCTGGCACAACGGTACCGTAGTGCCATGGGACGGGCCAGACCCTCGCGGTTATATTGATGGAAGAAAAGTATAGTCAACATTTCGTATGAAAATACTTTCTCTATATTTACTGTACAGTTCAAGACACCTGTGGATGCGTCGCTATTAAAAATGTTAGAGTGTCTTATTTTTATCGAACACCTGTTACTTGCCATTATTTTTATCCAATGCATCTCTTCAGTGCCTTGTTTGTGATAAAAGATAAGGATTGTCATTAAAAGAATGAATGTATAATTTCTTGCTTTAATTTTAATGATCTTTCTCATGGTTAATGTCTCAATAAGGTACAAATGGAACAGCGAGTTATTGGCATCTCATTTTAATATAGAAAATATAATCTGTCATAACAGGGATATGATTCTAGTAAATATATAATTATATAACGAATATACATATATTACGCTCAGCGAAACGCAGTAAAGAAGTAAAGAACGAAAAAAGAATTCACTCTAAGAAATATGATAAGTCATCACCGGGGAGTGAACCAAGACAGAACGAAAATAAATAAATCAAACTTTTTAAATAAAACAAATAGGTTAATTTATTTTACAAATTCCTTTGTTATCATATTTCTCTCGTTAAAATATGCTCTTTCTTAATACAAAGATTTTTCGATCACATCACCAACGGAAAGAAACAATAATATTACTGAATAGAAAATATAATATCCGCCGTCGGGACCAGTCGAATTGCACGTGTGTGGGGGTCTACTTGGCGTCGATGCACTCGGCAGGGTGCTGCGCCGACTTGGCGGGCGCGAAGCCGGGTGGCAGCGGGATGCCGGCGTAGCCCACGCCCCAGCCCAGTTTCTGTCCCCAGCCCGCGCCGCTGGAGCCGCCCATGGGCCCGGCGCCGGCCATGGCGAGCGAGGGCGCGGCGTGTAGTTTGACTCCATTGGGCTGCACGCCGAGCTGGTTGAAGCGCGCGAACAGCTCCTGTTGCTGCTGGCTGAGGGCGGAGGCCCCAGCGCTCGCCCCCACGCCGCTCGAGCTCGAGCTTGTGTTGGCGTTGCTGACGCCTACGTTCTTGCCGAAGTTCACTGAGTTCACTGATGTCGACATTATCGCGGGGTCCATTTGAGTCCAGTCTGAGAACATGGCGCTATTTGAGTTATAACCTGGAAAGGAATCAAAATACGTCGTAAGGACAAATATTTGTCTAGGAGAATTAAATGTCCTGCTTATTTCTTAGATAGAATAATTGCCCTCCAGGTCGTAGCTAGTGAAGTGAATAAATATCATGTCAAATGAACGACAATACGATATCTATTAATAGAAACTTGTTGGTAATATAACAAACAATAGAAGTTAATCATACAGATTAGAAATATTTCTAAAAACAATTTAATCGGTAATAAATAAATAAAATAAATGAATATCAATTACTTTGATGGTGTGTCTGTTGTGGGCGAGGCTGTCCTAAACCGAATGCGTTCATATGACTGAAACCGGGTGGTGCATGGCGGGAACGACGTACACGGTCCATATTATCACTGGAACATAAAAAAAATAAACATGGTCAAATAAAATTCAAAACTGGTTCCGAAGAACTTTTTAATTTCTGCCTACCGCACATGGACAACGACGTTTACCTATGAAACGATAAAACGGAATGAATAGATAGAGAGATTTTCTAGGTTTTTTTTTTATATCCTTAATAGGATGACGTTTGGCCACCATCTCGCCTGGTGGTAAGCGATGATGTGGCCGATGATGGTGCACGCCTACATAATTATGTATGAGTATCTATTAATTCCTCCAATTCTTTGTTTTGAGGTACGCAAACTAGCGGTTTTTCTCTACTCATTACTCTACTCACCCACTAGAAACTGTGTTTTGCATCATTTCTGTCTCCATTAGTTCTGCGAACGCCTTCTGTGTTTCTTTGAAGGGGTCGAAATCTAGGTCATCGTCTCCGTCGCCAGCCGCGCGACCACCGTTACCTTCGTTACCGCGTATATTGTTCATTCTGAAAGTTATTTCACTTACAATTAGCATAAAGATGGTAAAAGTAACCACAAATATTAAACTGAGTACCTGTTTTTTTCTCTGGTAAGGTATATGTTTTTTTCTGCTGCTTTATTTTTGTCATTTAAACAATAATTACCATACTTTGTGCAAATAAACGTTCCTATTCTTAAGAGGCATACAAACTAACGAGCTACCTGACGCAAATCAGTCGCTATAGCCCATGGATGTCTGCAATATCACTTATGTTCACTTTAGATCAGATGCTGATAGATCGTGACCGTGATCGTGATCGTGAGATAGGGTGTATTGATATTAACAGTGCATTTAGTATAGTGGAGGATCGATAGCAATGTTCCAACTGACATTCAATCAAAATGAAATTCTGTAGTAAATGTAGTTGTACCTTTGTTTGTGTTCCATCTCGAGCCTCTCTGCACTAAGCATATTGTGTGGGTAGTGGCCGTGGTCGATAAAACGCCGCTCTTCCGCGCCGCGCTGTAACTGAAGCCGCATCTGTTGTGCCTTGTGGAAGTCTGTGAAGAACTTGTCCATGTTCTCTGCTAAATACCGCACTTCATTCTGTCGAGTAAATACAAAGACTTTTATAATTGACGATGTGGATTTACATTATAAAAAAATTACATACAAAATAAATAAGCTGGGAACAGTGGAATTGAGAAACCGCGCGCATTCTTATAAAATTGATTAATATTATGATAAACATAATATAATAAATAAACAAATAAAGGAGCCACTTACCGCCGACTGTGGTGCATCGAATCCATTAACAAGGCCAGTCTGTTGCATCTGTTGTTGATTCTGTTGCAGCAACTGTTGATTGTGCATCATGAAGCCCATGGAGTTGCCGCCTAGCGAGCTCGCCGACAGCGAGCTACCGCCCATAGAATTGTCTACGCGCATACCGAACGGTGGAAGCATATTGGGATTTGGATGAAAATTAGCACCTGCACAAACATCCCAAGAATTAACTTGCGAACAGAGGGCGACACAAGAGAAAGAATGCGAGAACAGATAGCTTACCTAATAATTCACTAGCTGAGTCGAGTCCTATACTAGAAGATTGCATATAGTGTTTAGGCTCAACCATGTGTTGCCTCGCTAGAAGCTCGTTCTGTCTCATAAGCATTTCGCTCTGGCTGCGATCCCGAAGCAGGAGTTCCTTCTGGTCCATGAGGCCTTGGTTAATTTGACTAAGGGGTCTGTCGTTGGCGAGGTATGCGTCCAGCAGGCCGTAGCCATTGAGGAGTGGCTTGTGCTGGGCGAGGGGATCGTGGCGCAGGTCTGTGCGGAGGTCGACACGGAGGTCCGTGCGCAGGTCGGGGCGCAGGTCGGTGTCGGAGAGCAAATCGTGGCGCAGGTCGTGGCGCAGATCGTGGTCTAGCAGGTCGCGGCGCAGGTCGCGCTCGTCGTCCAACAAGGAATGCTTGTCGAGCAGAGAGTGTCGGTCGGAATCCAGGTCGTCCAGCTCGTTGGAGAGGAAGCTCTGCGTCTCGCTATCGAACACGGACGTGTGCGTCGTCTGCGTGCTACTATATTGTTTGGTATCTAATGTTTCGGTATCGTTATTGTCATTATTAATACTATTGCTAGACTTTTGTTTGGATTTGTTGTCAGTTTTACTTTTCTTGCTACTTTGGCCGTTTGTGCTGTTAGTTTCCTTGCTTCTATTTGTTTTACTATCTGTGTGTGTGTCTTTACTTTGTTTTGTTTGAGCCTGTTGTTGTACCTGTTGTGTGGGACTGGAAGATTCTGATGTGCCGTTTTCTTGTGACTTAACTGAAAATATTATCAAAATCATATTAATTATGTATTTCTATATAAATTCCATGATAGTGACAGAGTATTAAAACTATATTTAGCCTCTTACAAACTATTGTAGTAATAAATTTATAGCGACACATACCCGTAGTGTGTTGTGGCTTGGGACTGGGCTGTTTTCTGGCGGGACTATCTGAAGGCGGCGAGGACCCGAGGCTCGGCCAGGCTTCCTTGCCACTGCCATTACTGCCCACCCCGTTACTGCTGCCCGCACTGCTCGAACCACTGTTGCCGTTTACACATTCTTTTTTATTAGATCTGCAAATTATGCGACTAATAAACTAGAGGTTGGGGGTGCACTCTACAGTACAGGACTGATTTCGTTGGGCGTGACTGACATTGGAAAACATACAGGAGCTAGGCACAAATCTATCGCATCATTACTTACTTATGAATCGTTGTTAAACAAAGAAAATATTACTACTAAAATCAGTTTTAAAATGGATTAATTATCTTATTCAACGCGTTTATTATCAATGAAATCGACGTTGAACGACGCTTGCGGAGAATTGCCTTCAACAGTTTTTTTTTTATCTGCCGAGTTAATGACTTAAAACTCCTTTTTCTCGTTACCCAATGTCAGTCATACCCTACAAACTAATCTAGACCCCATTAGGACGAATACAGCTAGTGTCTATTGAAAGTGTTTGTGAAAAGTGTGTGACAAATGATTTATAAGGAAATGAATACTTAGGAATCCTAGAACATATAAACTACTACACATACAACGTGTAAGAGAAAAGTTTGGTCGCATTTTAGGGGTGAAATGTACTCATAATATAATCTTTCTCTAAATTATCCTTTTAGCTTGAGGGAAACTTACAGCATAACAATTTATCGATGCTCTTATCGAAGACTTATTTTTTAGTTGCACATCCCACTTACGACAGATAATTGACTCTGAATACTAAGAATATTATATTGTACTGATGACCAGTTTAACAATATGGGAGTACTATAAGTCCAATGTAAACCGATGCGATAGTACTGTAAAGTTCATTGTAAGTTAATTCTCTACACAAATATGAGTACATTGACCCCCATAAAATGACATATAAACCTTTATATTACATGTTGTATTCCGTTTTCTCAGCTGTATACGCCCGTAAACCTTGTTGAAGCAACAGTACTCACTTAGAAGAATTGACTACGTTTATATGAGAAGGAGTGACCACTGTAGTTGGTATAAAGTTCGACTGATTACCTGAAATTTTCAAAAAACACATATTAGTATTTTCTAGAAGCTTCTTCTCGGTATAGTCTTTAGAGAAATAATGATACGTACCATCTTTTGAACTGCTTTTTTCTGCATTCGTACTAGAATTACCTGGAATTTAAACAGTATTGTGTGTTTAGTACAATTATGATCAATGGTAAGGAACATCTGTACATGTTATTACGTCTTATTATCGTATACTTATTTCG